CCAGCTATATCCAGCTTAAACCATGCCGGTCAAGCTGGTTTTAGCTGGATTTGGCTGGTCATTTTCCAGCCTGACCAGCTAAGACCAGGCTGGAAATAGCTGGAAACCAGCCTGGAAACGGCCAAAACCCCTCTAAAACCAGCCTGGTCAACCAGCTAAAACCAGCCAACCAGCCTGGGCAGACTTAAGCTGGATTTTTCAGCAGGGATGAGCGGGACTGAAAACTAAACTGGATCACTGCATTACATCTGTTCTCCAGCACTTAGCGACTGTTTGCAAGTTCAAGACACATTTCCTCTCGTAACCCTATGCACAGTCGATCTCTGATCAATACCGGCCTCTGCAGAGTCGAGCACTTCCCCTGTTCAGAGTTTTGAAATCGCTATTGAAAGCAGGAGTCTAATATAATCCACAGTGGACATGTTGATAGTGTTTCACAGCATGAGCTTGACTGAAGCACACACGTCAACATCGAGATGTGAAAATCAGGAAATGCCCACCATAATGAGAGATTTCCCCCTGAAACACTCCCCAAATGACTAAACATGTTGATTTGGAGCTGTTTCATTGTAAATAAACAGTTGAACGGTCAGTAATGCGTTTTATTATTATTATTTACAAAAGAAAAAAGAAATAGTGTACATCAGCCGCAAACACATGAGCAAACAGATGAGCAAACAGATGAGCAAACACATAACACATGAGCGTGTTAAAACTAGCTCTCCTGATGAAACAGAATCCAGCTCATCTCATCAGCGTGTTCACAGTGTCACTCACTCACTCTGATGTAAGAGCAGCTCATGAAGCTCTCATTTATTTAGATTTTCTGTTTGATTACATTAAACAACAGAGGCGTCACTTTAACAATGCACACATCTAACATTACAATGACGGCATTCGACTTCTCTCCTGACTGCTTATGCTCATTTAGGATGAAATTACCTGTGTTTGAAAATAAAACCCACCAAGATGGACATCTTCACATATTACTGATATTAATAATGTGTACATGTCTGTTCAAACACTCACCCAAAACCCAGACTTCTGCTCCTCTTCAAATGGCGTGTACAGAATGCATTTGGGAAGCGGCGTCTGTTAATCGGTATGGAGCGCGTCAGCTGACAGTCACGCAGCGCTGTATGACTGTTCTGAGGATTGCATATGGAGGGGAGACGACACCCGTAATGAAAAGGAAGGGAATCCTGCTGTTTTCTATTCATTTAAAGTGTTTTCATGCCTGAACAAAGCGAAAGCGCAGAACAGACGCACATCCAAGAGCACGGAGCGGCCCCTGGTGGTTCGGCGGTATGGGTTGTGTATAGGGAGGGTCGGCTCTTTACTGTTTATTTGCCGCCCTGCAGAGAAAGACTGAAACTACGGGAGAATTACGGGAAAACACCTTTACAGGATCATAGCGGGACAGAACTGTAAAATACAGGAGAATCCTGGGAAAAATGAGGGTTTGACGGGTCTGGACTGAAGTTGAATCTTTCTATGACCTGTGTGAACTCGGGGGTGAACCTCTGACAGATGCGGGGAACTGATGCGCGCAGCGCCGCCACTGACAGAGAGAGCGACAGAGAGAGGCCTCAGTCATGTCTCCGCAGTCTGCCGCCGATGGCTGATCTCACCTCTCCGTGGCGTCTTAACACCAAAATACACGTCCAAATTTAGGGGGGCAGAGGGGGGGCAAGCTTATTGACACGGTGCACTGCCCCCCCAGAACCAGCACTGGCGTGTTCACCGTGTGTCAGGATTGTGCTCTGAGGCGCAGTAAACTCTGACTTCACTGCTGATCTGCAGATCTTCAGGAGCTGTTGATGTCGTCCTCTTCGGCTGGCTGATGGGAGCGCTGCTGTATTCACACGTCTCTATGCCAGATTACAGTGTTGTGCATTAAACTAATTCACATGGTCAGAAGAGCAGCTCCTGAACAGCTCAGTACAGAATAATAACACTAATATATCCTCATCCTCATCATCCTCAGTGCTTTACCTGCTTCATCAGCTCATCTTCTGCTCAACACTGCAGGATTCCTCTCCAAACAGCCTGAACCTGCAGATCCTGCAGCGGCGGAGTGAACAACATCTGCAGCAAACCACTGAACACCAGAGACGACCGGCGAGAGCCCGGAGCGGCACCAGGAGACCTGAGAGACCCGGCCGGCTGTTGCCATAGTAACTGACCTGTGTGTGTGTGTGTGTGTGTGTTTCTGCAGTGATGGCCCTTCGGGTGTGTTACCGTGGCCAGCGCTTGTCTCTGCACATGCTCAGTCGGAGTGTGTCCCACAGCAGTGTGTCTGTCGAGTCGCTCAGTGAACTGGAGACACACACACACGCACACACACACCCGCTGTTCTCTCGCTCCGCCATCGGGACCTTCTTCCAGGAGCAGCCGCTGCTCACTAACCCGTTTACCCAGGATGCTCTGCTGCAGGCTTACCTGAGGCGCCACATACCTGTGCAGG